TGGACTCATTTTTCTCACCTTTCAACTGTGGTTAATAACAGCACCTACACCATACAGTTGTTGCCAAGAAGAAATGGAGCAATCTAAGTAGAGCATCAAGAACTGCACCTGCCCATGGTGAGTCTTCAGAACACAAAAGCTAACAAGGTTATAGGACTTCACTGTCCCATAGCCATCCTCTACCCAATGCCTGAATCCCCACTATGGCCCTTCCCCAGGAGCTCTCCAGTCAGGGTACGAATACCCCTGAAGATGAGGAACCCACTACCTCAGGCTTCCTTCAGGTAGGTTTGTTTCTTGGACAGCATTTATTTGTGTTGATTTAAATCATTCCTGGATAGTTTCTAGTTGATTCTAGTTCCATTTCTGTGGTTGTGGAGAAATCAGTGAAACCACCCCTTTCTCAATAAAGCAGTTTAAAATCATATGAAAATTTTGTTGGCAACACCCTCTCTGCTGATATCCTCTTCCTTTCCATGAGTCTTAACCTTTTCCTAACAAAACACCTTCAGTTTCTTCTAATGATCATGGAATGACATGGCCTGCAACTCCTTCATCATTGTGGTTTCTGTCTTCCAAAAGCATCCATGTTTACTGGTGTGACTTAGCTTCATGTGCATTGGGTCCCTGCTGTGTGCCTGAGATCAGAGATGAGGAGACACGACAAGACTCAAGGAGCTCTCAGGCAGGCAGGGCACAGCATTCCAGGCAGGCAGGAGAGCATGCACCAAGGTACGGAGGCTGGAAGCCAGAGACCTCCAGATGGTCGAGCGCATTGCTGGAGTGTAAGGTGGAAACTGGGACTGGTAGGAGATCAAATCTGGGAAGGAGGAGGTGAGTTTGACCTGTAGGTGATGAGGAATCACTGGAACACTTTCAAAAGTGACACTTTCCAAATTGTTTCTTTTAGGAAAAGCACTCTAACTCCAGCATGAAGACAGGGCAAACATGAAAATAGGGAGGCTGTTTAACTGAATGACAAGCACCAAGAGGATGGGGGGGGGGCGGGGAAGGGGAGGGAGTCATGGGCCCAAAGTATATACCAAAAGGCTCACAGTGGTGGGACAGTGCGTGACTGCTTCTTCCCCACTGTGTTTTCTAATTTCTCCTTAGTAAGTATTTTCTATTTCTATATAATTAGCATGCATTATTTATGTAGTAAAAAAATAATTTATGCATGTCTAAAGATAGTACAAAATCAAACTCGCAGAATTTGGTAACTGACTGGAGGGAGGGATCTGAGGAATTTGTTTTCTGGCCTGTTGCTCAGGTAGTTGGTGTAGCCACCAACCCAGATGGAGACTTAAGGAACAGAACACTGTGTAGGAACTCGGTGGCATCAATGATAGCTGTAATGAAGCCCACAGCTGCTTTGAATCCCATTTGGCCTGTTTGAAGGCTGCTCAAAGCCTCTGTCCTCCTCTGCAGGCTCAACACTCACCTGTCCACTCTACACTAACCTGTAAAGCAGAACTTCATTGCGGCAAAGCCCACTCATGCTCCATAGTAGCAATAGCGTTTATTTGAATAAGTTTTGTCACTTCTTCAGTAAATATTCACTGAGTGCTCTGCACCCAGCCACCTTAATGATAAAACCATGAGAAGAGCAGGCACAGTCATCATCTTCACGAAACTCAGCCTCATGTGAGAGATAAGATATAAATGTTTTAAATTCACTTTAATAAACATACCATTTCAAACCAAGGCGAGTGCTCCAAAGAAATGGAAATGAGTCCAAGAAGACACAGAACAAACTCCTATCTGGTCTGGGAGTTTAAGGAAGGATCCCTGGGGAAGGAGGTGGTTGGACTGAGAGCTGAAGGATGTAGAAGAAGGAATAGGCCAAGGTGTCCCAGGCAGAGGGAACAGCGTGTGTGGTGGCCTTGTGCAGGGAGTACACATTGACATCACTTCACCAGGAGGTGGCATTCTGAGAAATGTGACCTTAGGCAATTTCTTCTACATGTGAACGTCCTAGAGTGCACTTACACAAACCTAGATGGCACGGGTTGGTCAGTGGATGTAGCCTCTCAGCTACTGCCAGGATCACACAGCATACTATTTACAGTGAACTTTCTTTATAAATAGGAGTAGACCCTAAAATAACAATAAAAAGTATAGTTAAGTACATACATAAACCAGACATGTAGCCATTTATCATTATCAGGTATTATGTACTGCACATAATTGTATGTGCTTTAGCTTTACGTGACTCCAATCACCACAGACACATGAGTAATGGCTTGTGCTACAATGTTACGACAGCCACAGTGTCATTAGGCAAGAGGAATTTCTCAGCTCCATTTTAATCCTTTGGGACCACCATTGTATATGAGGCCCATCATTATCTAAAATATCATTCTGTGGCTATAGAGACACAAAATGACTGTAGAGCATATTTGCAGCTAAAACAAAAATAAAAAACAAAAAACAAAAATCAACGCTGTTTTACTGGAACCCAGAGAGAGGAGCAGGGACTGGGAATGTAGAAAGGTGGGTGGGGAGGTGGGTGGGGCCAGGGCCCTATAGGACCTTGTGGGGCACAAGAGAACCCTGATCTTCATCCTAAGAGCAAAGGAAGACATTAGAGATTTCGGAAGCCTGAGGTGGCCATTGGACCAAAGCCTCTGGCTGCAGCCTGGAGGGGACCTCCTTGCCCACGGCGACTTTGTCTACTACTTTGCCTACCATTTCTTGCCCTTTCAGGCTTAGCACGTGTGTTAATCAATTTCTGTCACAAAAATGCATGAGATAAATGACTTAAAAGGGGGAAAGGTTTATTTTTGCTCAGTTTCAGTCCATGGTCAGTTGGCTCCATTGTTGTGGGCTTTTGGTGAGGGACAGCATCATGGTGGGGGCAGGTGTAGTGGAGCAAAGCTACTCACCTCATGGCAGCCAGGAGCAGAGAAGCAGAGAGGCCAAGGACAAGATATACCCTTCCAGGAGACACCCCCAGTGACCCACTTCCTCCAACTAAATTCCATCTCCTAGTGTTTCCACCACCTACCAATAAAGCCATCAGCTACTGATAAGGTCAGACCCCTCATGATCCAATCACTTCACAAGGGCCCCACCTCTGAATATTGTTGCACTGCGGACCAAGCCTTTGGGGGACATTCGAGATCCAATCCATAATAGCACTGAAGCCCAGATAAAACACTTCCCTCGTGGCCTGGGCTTCAGGATGTGGGGGTTTCCCTCCCCCTGCTGTGAGTAGCGTTTAGAAGTCTCTACCCCCAGCAGCCACCTCTCAAAGTTGCTTTGCAGCTCAACTTTCTTCATGGCTTCGCATACTTTAACACTAATGTGTGTACAACTTGCTAATTAATGGAATCATTTGGATCCGAAAACATCTTGTTCTAATGGGAGGCTGCAAAGCACTCTCATTAATTCACAGGTAAAATTATTCCAGCTTTTCTCTTTTTATTTTTTTCCCCTCTCCCCAGCTTGGCTTAATAGCTAGGGAGAATTCTTCTAATTAGCTTTGAGAAAACCACTCCACCAGAGCTCAAAGCACTAGTGACTGCCTCAGGGTCAGAGGGAGGGTGACACAGACTTGGTTTACCCAGTGAAGAGGGCAGTGGGTGGAATCGCCAGACCCTGAGAAGTGGAGTAATACCTCCATGGCTGGCATGAGAGAACACTGGGGAGGTAAGGACACTAAAGTGACTCCTGTTTGGGATTCAGAGGTGTGCATACTCTTGTACGTGTGTCAGAGGAGACTCACAAGGTGACTTTCTGTACAACTGGCCTATGGAAGGAAGGGGAAGCTGCCTTCTCCACCCTTCTCCTTGGGTCTTGAAGATTTGGTGCAGTTGCTGTGGGCATAAAGCTCTTGAGTGACTATGTTTGGGTGTAATCTGGGGTGACCTCCTGGTAACCACCTCCCCACCATTGGCAAATGAAGCTTGCAGCACCCCCTTTAAATGATTAGCACTACAAATGATCAAGCCTGTAAGTAAGGGGGTCCTCCTTCCCCCTAGACCAAAGAACAAACCTACAGACCTTGAGGACACTGATAAGACCCAGATGTTCTATGGGGTTTTTTGTGTGTTTCCCACTCTCCCAGATTCTGGATAGTTTTTAGATTTTTTTTAAAACTATGGTAGTAAGTAATAACAAAGTTTATCATCTTAACTATTTTTAATTGCACAGGTTCAGTGGCACTAAATCTGTTCACACTGTTGTGCAACCACCATTTTCAACCATTTCCAGAACTTTTTTTTTATTCTCCCAAACTAAAACTCTATGCCTTTCTAAATAAGAAGTCCTTTCTGTGGGTCATTCGAAAGGAAAGTATAATGTTCTGCTAGCTCCCTCTGAGAACTCAGCCTGTTAGGATATCCTAGTGGAGAGTGGTTTGTCAACTCACTCAGTTCAGAGAAGGTACCTTCCAAGCTGTTTCCCCAGTCCTGTCTCAGAGGTCTCACCATCCCGATGTACCCTGGTGGTGAGTCACTTTCAGCAATGGAAGCCCTACCCTCCTGGATACCTGTCAACCAGGCTGATCTGTGGTTTATAGCAGATGGGTCACCCATAGGCTCTGGTAATCCCATCATGAAGAAACCTTGAGAGATAAATAAGTCCTTCATGGCCAAAGTGAGTCCTCACTGTACTGAACTCTGCTCTGAGAGAGAAAGGTGCTAGGTTGTCTCTAAGATGGGATATAGCAGATTTGATAGTTATGGATGAAAATAATGTGTTCTTCCCCTTGGAGGTACAGCCTCTGCCAGTCCTTTTATTTGGACATGCCTCCAAGACACATTTGGAGTTAGGCCAACCTGGATTTAGATCCCCATTCTGTGGCTCATTGACTATATGACCTTGAGCCTCTGTTTCCTCATCTAAAAAAAAAAATAGGGCTCACGATACCCCACTCTCCAAGCTGCTAAGAAGATTGCGTGAGATCTTGCCTGTGTGGCATCCGAGGGAGCACCAGGCTCCGTCAGTGGAGGCCGGCACACTCAGGGTTGTCACAGTGGATGATCCTGCCGTTACAGGTCTGCAGGTGGTCCTGAACTCCATCATCAAGGCCATGGTGCCCTTGCTGCACATTGCCCTGCTCGTGCTGTTTGTCATCATCATCTACGCCATCATCGGCCTGGAGCTCTTCATGGGGAAGATGCATAAGACGTGCTATAACCAGGAGGGCATAGCAGGTAAGAGCAGGGTGCCAGGTGACAGGTTCCTAAGAGGCTGTTGGTTTTCTCTTAGCTGTTTACTGTGTGGTTGGAAGCACTGCTGTCACCTGTCGAGCCAAGCTGCCGGAGGTTCCTTCATTCAAAGGCCCATGTCCCAGCCATGCTAAGAGAGAAGCAGTGATCCTTATTCTTTTCCTCTTATGTTCAATTTCTGTTTTCACTGAAAGAGATCTGTTAAAACAGCCAAATGCAAGCTTTGTCCAGCACATGTTTGAATGACTATTCAATTTGAGAAACACAGACTTAAGAACTTAGCATTGGTCAATTTTTCACTTTTGAAGCTGATTCTGAATAATTTAAGAATCAGTATTAACCTCTGTGTCTCTGCTGCATCTACATGTCAGTGTGACTCCTCATCAAAGGCCTTTCTTGGAAGCCAGTAACACCCTCAGCCAACACACTCACCCTTCACAGCCCTGAGGTCTTTTCACCCTCTTAGGGCTGATCCTGGCTTTTCTGCAATTAATGTTTCCTTCTCCTTTTATGGGCAAAAGCCCCTGAGCCCCACACCAGGGTGAATGAGAGGGCAGGCATAGAATCACACTCCCTTACCAGCAGCCAAATTTCTATTCCTCAAGGAGGAAGTTTAGCTCTACCTCTTGGCTATCAATCCTTTCCTTCCAGAGACTCCTCTCTTTGTATTCCTTCCATAAATCAAATATATTTAACAAGCAATGCTGGTTCATTAAGCACTTCCCTGAGTGGCACCAAAGTTTTGGCTCATGGGATATGCTACAAACTTCTATCTTACGTTTCTAACATCTCAGCTTGACCTTTTAAACAATATTTAAACAGAAATTGACAAGGCTTTAAACAGACATATAAAGCAGTTTAACACAAAGACCTTGTTGAAAAAAATATTCCCCACCCCAAAGTGGTGAGCAGTACTAAGTTGATATGAGTTTTTTCAAGCAATAAGATATGTCATCTTAGTGTTTGGCATCTTGGTGGAGAGAGGAGGGCATCTGTCTGGATTATTAAGGGATACCTCCTTCCTCTGTACCTAAGCTGCTTCTCATTCCCTTTTAGCCCAGGCATTAAATTAAATTTTGCCTCTCTTGCATTGGGGAGTGAGGTTGGATAGCATATATACAACCAACAGTGAAATGGATAAATCATGATTCAGAATCCAAGATAGGTTACTTGGCATGAATGATCTGGTTCGATTGGATGGATATTTGCAATGACCTAGGTCATTATCACATGGTCACAGTGCCCCCCTAAAACAAACAAACAAAAACCCTACTATAAATCTACAGTCACATAATCACTCAATTGCTTGTACTTTTTTAATGGAGAATCTGTTTAAGAGGAGGCTATTCACTCCTGAGATAATTTCCAAATTACTTGGGTCATCATTGTGTAAAATAAATTATCATGATTTAAAATATGTAATTTTTTAAAATTGGAAAAAAGACAGCTCTTGCCTCTCTTGCCTCTAGCTAAAATTCTGAGACTTTCAGCCTTGCTTAGAGAAATACAAAGCATAATGGATAATATTTCCCCTTTAATTCTAATTTTTCCTTTTATTCAGCTTAATCTATAGCTAGCCCTGAACCAATAAATTTATATTAATGGTGTGGCTTTGTTAGAGCTCCATTCTCAACCTCCTTAAGAGCTGATTGAAGTATGTCTAGAGTTTATGCAGTTGTATTGAAATGATCCATGACCTGTTTGACCCAAACTCCTCAGGCAGTCACAGAGATGTGGAGTCTCAAAGACTCCTCATCGGTTTGGCAGTGACTAGCAGTGGGGCTTTCACCAAATGAAATGGGGAAACATGAATGGCGAAATTCTGCCGAAGAGCCCAAGATGGTAACGATGCCATGCCATCAAATGTCTGTTCACCAGTAAGCCAAGAAGAACTGCTCCAAAATCTGCCCATCATTTCTGTCATCCTAATGGGAAAATTGCAAAAGCATGTTTTCTACTGGTGGCAAGGATCTTGCAAGGGCCTCTTAGAATCGGCAGCCTGAATTATGGTTGGAAGCCATCAGGCTTTGTTATCAGGCCCCAGCAGCAAAAGCAAGAAAATGGTGGGTATTACAGACAAAGAGCACACAGGATGGGCACCTCTCCCCTAGGACACAGCCACAGGGTCCACTGAAAAGGCCACCTGAAGTGCTGAAAGCATTAATGGCCTCCTGTGGTCTTAAGATGAAGACAGACCTGGCTTTACCAATTGGACTGGCCAATTTAGGATCATATTGTTCTTGATAGTAAACAGAACCAGATAAAGTACCTGAGAAGTTTCCTGCTTCCTACCATAAGACTCATCAGATTATTCATGTGGGTAGGTTTTATCAAGTTCAGAAGAGAAGTGGGCTTCCATTGTGTGAACATGGGCCAGTGCATGACAACAAGAGAAGTCCTCGAAGGAGAGGCACCACGTGGGGCTCCACCAGAAGGTGACCTCACTCCTCTGTGTGGAGCCAGACTCCCTGCTGGGAAAGGGGTCAAGGGCACTCAGCTGCAGAAGCCTGTTCTTCCACATTCTCTGCAGTCATCTCACCCACCTCCTCCTTCCAATACTTGCCATCTGATGACACTCCAGGGACCCACTTCATTGCTCCCAACAGGACATGATACCGCTGCTGTTAGGGCCTCATGTACCCAGACAGCAACTAATCCCATTGAGGAGGAAAAAAAATGATACAGAAATCTGGACATACTCAACACAGCCATGGAGTAGAAGACCTTAAACTTGCAATCTTTGAAACCAATCCGAATGGGTTTTGGAGAGTTTTGAAAACCTTTAGAACTAGTGGTCTTTCCCATCCCACCTCCACTTTTTATTTTGGACTTTCAATTGAGTCGCCATATTTTCTGTATATTTAGATTTTACAAAAGTTCTATGTGAATCCTTGTTCTAATTTTTAATGGAATTTCCATCAAATCCTTTTTTTTACACTTTGATATTATTTCACAGACTGTGAAATTTATGTAGTTCTAGATTTTAGAATGCTTTGTACTTTGAGCCATACTATGAAATCCATACAAGAGAGATCTGGAGCCATCCAGGTGAACCACTGTTCTGCCTCTTGGCTGCCTGTCCGTGGACAGCCTCCAGTGGAGATGGTCTCAGAAGAGGCAGTTTTCCCCTAATCCCTGCGGCATCTGCAAGGCGCCTTCTTGGTTCCTCAACAGATACAGCACCATATGCCAATACCTTTTGTTTCTGGTTGTTCCATCTGTCTGATGGTTCTCAGAGCCAGGTCACTCTGAATAGCTCTCCCAAGCACAGTAATTACCCCCGGGACTGGCAACAGAATTGGTTGGCTAAAACCTAGCAATGAAATCACCTTCATTCTATTCACTCCGTAAAGTCAGGACCTCAAAAAAAGTAATTGTTTTTGTCTTTGGTGAATTCTCCATGGAACCCTTAACTGGAGCTCTCCTAGGATTTCAGTTCTTGTTGGTGTTACCTGCATTTCTAAAATTTCTCCTAGTCCTTGTCTCCATTATTTAAAAAAAAAAAAAAAAAAAAAAAAACACTTAATTTGGAGTTTCTAGAATGACCTTGCCTTTCTTCATTTGTTTTGAAACAGAGCTGGACTTGCTTTGTCTGCATCCCCCTCCCCCCACTCATGTTCCCACTTTTGCAACACGTTTCCCATTTAAGCTCCTTTCCCCTCACCCTGGAGTACATGTTGCAGGACCTGCTGATTTATGTGTGTTCACATTTTTCGAGTGTTCCCTTTAGTGCTTTTTATAAATTCCTATTTTTACCGGATCATCATTGCTTCTTAATTGTTCTCCAATCTTTTTTATTGTTGTTCAAGACAGATTTAAAATAGCGGAGAGGCACTTGAGCCTGTGGATGATAATATTTCTGAGTCTCATCCCTTTCTCTTTTATTAATGAGATCACTCTCCCTTGATGCCATTTTCTTTGTAACATGTATCTGTAAAAATCCCCAAACATGTTTTCCTTCCTTGAGGACACTCGGAGCTCGCTTTGGCAGCCTCCCCTTTTGCCTTATTTCTGCTGTTTTAGGAAGGGAGGTTACAGGGAAAGCTGTCAGATCAGCCGTCACAATGTGAAGATCAACAGCATCTTCACGCCCCAAAAAAGCAAAACAGAGGAAAAGAGATGCAGGTTTTCCCTTTATTTTTTTCACCCTCTTTTTTTTTTTTTTTTTTGGTCCCATCTCTCATATCATTCCAGCACTTTACCACGTGGCTGAACACATCATTCTAGAAAGCTATTTCTAGAATGAGTGAGAACCAAACAGAATTTATGATATGTTTGGTTCTTGGTCTTCCAGTCTCTCAACTCTGAATTTTTTTAGGTGCTCTGCTATTTTTAATGTATTATTTAGGTTTGGGATTCACTTTTTAGTTTCTCTCCTGCCCCAATCTCTATAAAGATTTCACAGTATCAAAATTCATACAAAAAAAAATTGTAGCTAAAGGGGAGTTCAGTTCAGCTCCCTTAATATTTGGAGCCCTCCTGGGAGCCAGACCCTGGAATAAGGGAATGGTGTGGATGCCGATCTCAAACAGCTCAGAGATCCTTATTGCAGACCCATCACCTTGGTCATTGAACAAAGGACCCACATGCAAGTTTGGGCACCAGGCCACAAATAAGCCAGGAAGCAGCATTACTCAGAATGGCCCAAACCTGGAATGAATCCAAATGTCCGCCAAATGAATCCAAATGTCCGCCAACCGGTGAATGGATCAACGTACAGTAAAACACACTGCTCAGCAATAAAGAGGAACATACTACACTGAACGAGGCAACGAGAGGGACGAACCCAAAAATATGATGCTGAGCGAAAAAGAGGAGCACAAAAAGCCACATAATGTATGGTTTTATTTATGTGAAATTTCGAGAAGACACAAAGCTTTGGAGACAGAAAGCAGATGAGGTTGTTAGAGGCTGGGGTCAGGCAAGGCCTGACTGTGACAGTGCACTGGGGAGGGGTGATGGAGCTGTTAAAATGGATTGTGGTGTTGGTTGCAAAATCATGAAGATGCACTAAAAATAATTGTGATGTACATTTACATTGATGAATTCCAAGGCATGTAAATTATACTTCAGTAAAGCTCTGTGTGGTTGTGCGTGGCGTAGAAGAGGTGAGGACTGGGAGAAGGAAGAGGAAACCGAGCACCCAGGACAGCCACCAGGGAGACACCAGACATATATTTTCAACCATCACACTCAACTCCATTCTCCTAAGAATTATTCCCGAAGGATTACTATTTCTGACTTCCTCTTGAAAGTGAACAGTTTCAAATTAGAAGCCACAAACAGAAATAGCGAGCCAACCAATCATCTTCCAAGCAGAGCCTGTGTCCCACAGGCAAATTAATCACGCTTGCCATTGTTTTGATCCTTACAAAAAAAGAAAAGATCCTGGGTGACCTCTTGTCTCTAAATGAAGAACTACAAGCAAATTTTCTCTCTGTGGTTGTATTTTCACTGCTGTGAATTCTTTGTAAGAACTGAGGTCGCTTCTCTTTGACATTGTCATCACTTTCCACAGGTACAAGAGCCTCGATTTCACAAACTGCTGGGAATTTCCCACTCTCACCTTTCACAGGGGTCAAGGCTACCTTAGTATTTTACTGTAATTTAGACCCATCAAGTCTTAAAGTTACCAGTGATTTGCACACTGAAATTATAAATTGCATCTTAACTCATGAATTTGCTAGTAGCTCTTCCCAGCACTGTCTTTCTCCACAGATGACATGTCATATTTTGTCCTGGAAAAGTCCTGTCCACACCTAGGAAGTCTTTTTTTTTTTTTTTTAGAGAGAGAGAGAGAGAGAATTTCTTTTTAATATTTATTTTTTAGTTCTCGGCGGACACAACATCTTTGTTTGTATGTGGTGCTGAGGATCGAACCCGGGCCGCACGCATACCAGGCGAGCACGCTACCGCTTGAGCCACATCCCCAGCCCCCTAAGAAGTCTTCATCCTGTCACCCACCACCACTCTGTCTTTATTAGGGATCAGGAAATGATTCACCTCTTCTGAAAGGTGTTAATGCTGGAGAGAAAAGGACAGCACTGCAATGTCCCACCTGACATGCACAAGACACAGTCAGCAGTGGGTGCCTCCCCCCTACCATCAGCCCACGTTTCGTCCGTCCTCAGCAGGCTTCCCGCTGAAGTAACTTGAATCCTGGTGATGCACCATGTCATATGAAATGGACTAGTGTAATCACAAAGCATTACTGGCTGGGATCCGTTAACTCACCATGTGAAGGAACCTTCTAGCCTTGACTTGGAAGGAAGGAAGGGAAAGGGGGAAGAAGAGAGACGTTCTGTCATTTTTCAGAACAATTTCCACTTCAAATGGTTGCATCATCATTACCTTTTTGTCTGCCACTTGACTATGGTGCCAAGTCATTACAACAGAATGGGCAATAGTCCTACTATCCTTGAAATCAATTGCCAAGGTTAAAATACCGTTTTTCCAACACTTAGTTGAAAGTACTGACCTTCTAAGTTGGTGGCAGACTCAAATGAATACCTAGATCTTTATGTTTGATTCATATATGAGGCAGGGGGCTCATTCAGACTGGTTCTGCATGATCCAGTGGTTATCCCCTCAACCTTGTCCTTTCACTTTTCTCTCTAATGCCTTTGCTTCTTTCTCTGCCCACTTCTTTCCCTCCCTTCACTCTTTTCCCCTGACCTTGGAGATGTTCCAGCAGAAGAGGATCCTTCCCCCTGTGCTTTGGAGACAGGCCATGGGCGGCAGTGTCAGAATGGCACTGTGTGCAAGCCCGGGTGGGATGGTCCCAAGCATGGCATCACCAACTTCGACAATTTCGCCTTCGCCATGTTGACAGTGTTCCAGTGCATCACCATGGAGGGCTGGACAGACGTGCTGTATTGGGTACGTACCTGGAAGTGGGCACTCAGGGCAGGGAGTACAGAGGTGTGGGCCTGATCTCCACATCTCCCTTTCTCTCCTCCCTGTGATACTAGGGTCATGCACTCATCTTGAGGGAATGGTTGGTGAGTATCCTTGAGTTCTTCCAGGTCTTACCTGAGAAACGAAGCATGAAATGCCAATCTAAATAGTCTCCTATCCCTGCCCATCAGCCTTAGAGAAACACCATCTTTAGTTTATCTAGTTGTATTGTAGAACACTGATGTGTAGTGGATGCTCTGTGAATGAGCTGGCCATGCCTGGCACAGAGATTCTGTCTAATTCCTCTTCCCATTGTGGAGTCCCTTCTTCTATTATTCTTTTTCCCCCCTCCTTCTCTAAAAGAGAGCAACAGGGCACAATGACGAATTCTTAGGGAGAAAATGACGGCCCTTTTTTCTCTTTAGGAGAAAAATCGGCCCTGATCTTCCAAAAAAGAAATCCTATAAAGAAGCCATTTCTACTGAATTGGGTAGCATTATGGCATTATTTCTCATTAGTAGCATTATTTCTCATTAGTCTTACCTTAACATGTTAGGATAGTTCATTAGAAAAATAAACTGTCACTGTTTTCACAGTTAACAGAGCACTCTACTGGTTGTGTGCTGCATATTTAGAAATCCCACTTCTTGAGTGCCAACCAATCCATAATATATTTTCTTTTACTTTAAATATGCTCCTCTTATTATCCAGCAGCTGTCACTACTTTGCCAACGTTCAAGCCCTTGAAGTGCCAGATTTGTATATAGTCTATCCAATCGGCAAATACATACACTGTATTTGAGCTGTCTCCATTCTGGCAGAGTCAAGTCCATTATTTGTAAAACCTCCAGAAAATATATTCTTTGTAGTGTCTCCTGCTTCAGCATGAGAAATGATTTGCCAGGATCCAGTGTTGTTCTCCAGAATTTTGGGCGAATAAAGCGGTTGCCAGTCTTGAAAATATCATCTCTCCCAGAGTTTCGCAAATAGTCAAATCTATTTGGCCATCGTGAAAACAATCTAAGAGGCTGCGTAGGGAACAGTGTCTACAAACTAAAGCAGAGAAGAGTGAGAGGGAAGCAAATGCCTTCCCCATCAGCAGAGCTGCCAGATAGAAAGGAAATAATGCCAAGAGAGGTGTTGACTTCTTACAGAATCAGAAGGAAGAGTTGTATAACAGTACAGAGATGTGATGCACAGTATCACATCTTCTAAAGTTTTTTTTTTATAAGCACCGTGTCCTATTGATTCAAAACCTCTCTTCCTGAGTTTTTACATTATAGTCAACATGCCAAAGCCCAGTGTTGCTATGAAATTTGTACCTCTCTGTCAATGACTACTGGAAACTTGCCTGAGTCCCTTGTTCCCAGCAAACATTTATTGAATGTCCTTACATGCCAGCGATGCTCCTAGGTAGTGAAGATTCAGTCATAAATATGATCCAGTTGTCTAAAAAACAGACTAAATTCTAAACTGAATAATGGTGCACAGAAGGAGAATGTACCATGGCAAAGTGGTTGCTTTGTGATACTTTGAACAGAAGACAGTGGTGGTATTGCCTCTGCTTCAAACTAAAATTAAACCCGGAAAATATTTTTCAGGTTGATGTTCAATGAGAACTTGGGTTTGTACGATTTGGAAGATAAAGAATTTGAACTTATTACACTTAGGCAAATTTATTATACTTAGCAAAGCAGATCAAATTCCCAAGTGGCTCTAACCGGTCCTTCTACCCTGGGTGAGTCCCTCGGGCAACCCAGGGATGAAAGATCCTCCTGCACATAGGGAATTTCCACATATGGGCCGTGGACTATATGACTGCGTGGGCTTTGGCGCCTCCTCCCATGAGCTTCAAACCCATGCCTTCAGTTGCTATGGAAAAGCCTCTCATGGCACCAAATTGAGGACAGGGTGGCAGGGGGTGGGTGGGTGCTGGGTGGGGGGAATAGGTATAATTTACTTGGCTGATGGCCCTGACGTATTTTCGTGATCTTCCCTCTCCCCCATCACAAGTCATTGATACCCCACCAACCAGATGTGACCCAAAGAAATACTGTCACAGTGACAGCCAGAGAGGGGAATAGGAAGAGGCACACAACCGCAACTACCAATTTTCGGCAGCTGTGTTGTGCTTTCTCCCCTGGGGTGTGTGTGATAGAGCTCAGGCTGGGAATGGAAAAAGTGTTCGAGGTGAAAGAATGATCCCCGGGCTCATGGGACATGCCTCGCTCTGATTTTCCCAGCTCCTTTACAAAGTTGCCATATTATGTGTGTGTATCTGTACACAAACACACACACCCCTGAAGCTGAAGCAGAGTCCCTACTTGATTATTCATGATGGAGGCACCTCCCAGCCCAATGCTCCTGCTGTCAGACAACTTCTCTAATTGCTTTGACCTTTCTGTGGCTATTTCTTCTCCCCACAACCTTTCTTTCTCTTCTGCATTCCTTCTCCTTGCCTCTATGCCATATCTTTAACTTGCAATCTCTCAATCTCAGTATATTTTAACACCAAATATAGAGCTTTCTTAATATACAAATACCAGAACTACCTCCAAGCCATTGAATTAGAAGTTCCTAAGTTAGGACCCCAGTATCTGCATTCTGGGAAAAAAAAACTCTCCAGGCCATTCGGATGCCTGAGCTGGAGTTGAAACTCCTAGAAATCTCCCTTATTAAATGTACATATGGCTGCTTTGAAGCCACTGGATTTGAACCAGTCTAGGGACATATAGTTTTCATGGAGAATGGGGAAATAGTCTTCCCTTGTAAAGAATGTACAAGTCTAGAGAACATGGAAAGGAGTACTCAAGATTTCAAGTACAGCAGTAAATGGGAACCCTGGTAGTGGGTTCATTCTAAACTAACCAACAGCCGGATAGATATTTCTGGGGAAAAGAAAAAGTCATTAAAGCATTAAAGAAGTAATTAAGCCAGGTGCAGTGGTGCACATCCGTAATCCCACCTACTGGGAATGCAGAGGCAAGAGGATCACAAGTTCAAGACCAGCCTGGGAAACTTAGTAAGATTTTGTCTGAAAACAGAAAGTCAAAAGGGCTGGGAACACAAGTTAGTGGTTGAGTGCTTTTCTACTGTGCGTGAGGCCCTGGGTTCAACCTCCATTCTGCCCTCTTAAGGAGGAAGAAGAAGGAAGAGAAGCAGCAGCAGCAGCAATTGATTGAGTCACCATATGTAGCCTCTTATAGAGGGGACCTTGAACATCTCCAGTAACACATGACAGACACCTGCCTCCTATTGTGGATGATACTGAGTCTGTAGCTCTTTTCCACTGACACTAATTATTGTATTGTATTCTCATGATTTTGAAGAGTCGGTGGACCAAAAATAGCATCAAAGTTGGTCACATAATACTTAAACATCTCCTCATCTATGAAAGCCGGTGGCCATTGGGTTGAGACCTGACAAGCTGAACAATTGGCTTACATCATTTCTTTTACCTAGTGTCCTATTCTCTCTCTACAGATGACAGGGAAAGGACAGGGCATAGGATTTAGAAACTAGACCAAAACTTAGATTTGGGTGGAGTTTTCTTGGGAAACGACCTCTTAAGCCAAGACCCCTCCATTTACTCTCAGAATTTCCAAGTCTCTCAAAAACTAGGACCTGGGTAGGAGGAGGAGGGGATGTGCTCAGATTAAAAACACCACCTTTCTTCTGAAGGAGAAATGAAGCTCCAAGAGAGAAAATATAATAATAGAATAAGATTACCATTGGTTTCCATTTCTACTTTCAGGTTTTTTTTTTTAAACTAAACATCCCTATCTATCTGCATATAATTCAAGACTGTTTGTCTTATATGGTTTAGGCAGGTGCTTTCCAAAAGATATCAGAGGCTACTGAGTCAAACTGATCTGCCAGACTCTCTGTAGGATTCTCAAATATGGTCTGATAAATAGCATCAGTCTGAAACTCTGAGCATTATCTCTCTCAAATTGTAGCCAGATCATAACCAAGTAGCATAACATCAATCAATCAATCAAATATCTTTATGCCCAACACTTGATACAGCCCCATGCTCCTGGAAATAGAAAACAATGGTCACCAACCTGGAGTTTGCAACTCCCAGTGAAGGTGGCATGTGAAACTCAGGGAAAAGGGAGGCAGCTGTGAAAGCAGGCGTCACATGAGGTGCATGTCTCCACTCTGCAGGAATCTAGATGCCTGAATATTCATCAAGAGAATTCCGTACGCTTCCGCTCACCCACCTTCTGATCTAGGGACACCAAGAATATTGTGCAGCCCTGTAGACACCTTTGGTCTGTGCCTTCCTAGACTCACACCCCTTTCTGCTCTGTGGGTCACCCTCTTCCTGACACCACCCATTGTTTCCTCAGTGACTTCTCCATAATCAGTTCTTCCACTAATCTTTTAAAAATGAAAAGTTGAGCTTTAAAATAAGTTTAGAAAGAATTCTTATTGAGAAGCTGTAGAAAGGAAAGATTTTTTTTAGAATCACAAAATAATGTCTTTGATAGCCCCAGATTGGGGTTCATTTTGATTTGGCCATCCAGAAACCTTGAGAAACAAACTCTAATGATTTAATTTTTTATAAATCGAGTTTTCTTCTCCCACGTAAATGAGGCTTCTACGTGTGCTCAGAGACAGGAATTTTCAGTGAACAACAATAAAAAGGAACAGGGGTAGAAGCAAACCTGATGAAACCTGTTTTCCCAGTCAGTTGTCAATTCCACACTTCATTTTGCCGTCCCCTTTACATGTCTAGACATGCAGAGAACATACTCCTTCGAAGTTCACACACACACACACACACACAGCCACTAATTCCCTTAATTATGACAAAAGTCTTTTTCATCTAAGCAGGTTGAATTTGGGTGTTTTATCCTATTTATTCCACTCCACCTTGCTTTAAAAAGTCCACCATCTTTCACTGTAGAATATAGAACACGCGTCTAAAGATGTCACAAAAGCTTAAGGGGCAGAGCTGAATTCTGCTGATGAGC